GCTGCTCTAGGTGCCAGTGAGTCTGCTGCTCCAGGTGCTAGCGAGTCTGCTGCTCTAGGTGCTAGTGAGTCTGCTGCTCCAGGTGCTGGTGAGTCTGCTCTCTCAGGTACCACGTCTGCTCAGGCGTCGCACACTTTCACCCTTGACTCGGGTGCTTCCCGCTCCTTCTTTCGAGACCGCACCACTCTTACGCCGCTCAGTCGGCCGGTTGCGGTCTCCCTGGCAGACCCCTCTGGGGGTCCTGTCCTTGCTCACTACTCCACTGTCCTGCCGTGTCCAGCGGTCCCGTCTGGCTCCCTGTCGGGTCTTTACCTCCCCTCGTTCTCTACGAACTTGGTGGCGGGTGCTGACCTACAGGATGTTGGAGTTGACCAGTTCACTCCTGCGCGTCAGCGGGTGACCCACTGCACGTGTGCTGACACGGGCCGACACTTGGCCACGTTTACTCGTCGGCCGGGGTCGAGCCTGTACACACTGACTACCGAGTCTCCGCCGGTTGCTGTTCCTGGTCAGGTAGCTGCGTCGGGTCAGGTGTTTGCTGCAGCGTCTCGGTCTGGTCCTGAGTCTGCCCCCTGCTCGTGTCGCCTCCTGTCCCACGAGACTCTTCTCTGGCACCACCGTCTTGGTCACCCCTCCTTGCCTCGTCTTCGAGGCATGGCCTCTCGTGTCCTTGTCTCTGGTCTCCCCCGGTCCCTCCCTCCCCTCCCTCCGGGGCCTGCCCCTACCTGCGTTCCCTGCGTCGAGGGGCGGCAGCGCGCCGCTCCTCACTCCTCCGAGTTTCCGCCGACAGAGGCTCCGCTGCAGACTCTTCACATGGACGTGTGGGGCCCAGCCCGCGTCCGTGGACAGGGTCACGAGCGCTACTTCCTGCTGGTGGTTGACGACTACTCGCGTTACACCACAATCTTCCCCTTGCGCCGCAAGGATGAGGTCACTGAGGTGTTGATCGACTGGATCCGCGCTGCTCGTCTCCAGCTCAGGAAGAGTTTCGGCTCGGACTTTCCTGTTCTGCGTCTGCACTCTGACAGGGGTGGAGAGTTTTCCTCCGGCCCACTGCGAGCCTTCTGTCGTGCGAGGGGCATCCGCCAGACATTCACGCTTCCGGCCTCTCCGCAACAAAATGGGATTGCTGAGCGCCGCATTGGCATGGTCATGGATGTCGCTCGCACGTCCATGATCCATGCGGCTGCTCCCCATTTTCTGTGGCCGTTTGCGGTTCAGTACGCGGCGCATCAGATCAACCTTCAGCCCCGGGTCTCCATGCCGGACACCTCCCCCACTCTGAGGTGGACGGGGCAGGTTGGCGATGCGTCTGCGTTTCGTGTCTGGGGATCTCGGGCTTTTGTCCGAGACTTGTCTACGGACAAGCTGTCCTCCTGTACTGTTCCCTGCGTCTTCCTTGGCTTCCCCCCTGACGCGCCTGGTTGGCAGTTTTACCACCCCACCTCGCGCCGTGTTCTGTCCTCTCAGGACGTCACGTTTGACGAGTCGGTTCCGTACTACCGTCTCTTCCCCTACCGCGCTGCCCCCCTTCCCCCCCCGTCGCTCTTCCTTACGCCAGGTCCCCCCCCGGTAGACCCCCTCCCCCCTCAGGGTCCTGCTCCTTCAGGTGTGTCTCAGGTAGACCCCCTCCCCTTGGCTGAGCCTTTGGAGGTCACTTCCGACACCTCTGGCCCACCTAAGGGGAGTGACGCTGCTGCTGACGCCCCGGCGGCCTACCGCCGCGCACCACGCTTGGAGACCCCTCCGGGTTTCCCGCCGCGACCTTCTTCGCCGCCTCTGCAGCCGGTTCCTGTTGACTCTGGTGCTGTTGGGGGTGGTGCTCCTGGAGGTGCTGCGTCTGGGGGTGCGGAGTCTGGGGGTGCTGAGCCTGCGCGTGAGGAGACTGGAGGTCCTGCGCCTGGGGGTGCTGTGTCTGGGGGTACTGAGCCTGTGTGTGCGGAGTCTGGGGGTGCTGAGTCTGGAGGTGAGACGCTTGAGGGTACTGGGACTGCTGGTGCGCGGCCTACTTGGAGTGGCCGCCTTCGTCCGCGTGTGCCTCTCACCACTCAGCAGCTGCACGACTGGTACGGTCGCCGTCAGCGTCGCGCTGCTGGAGCCCGGGGCTCTGCTGCTGGGAGTGCTGGAGCTGCTGGGGCTGGGGGTGCTGCGCCTGGAGGTGCCGTTGCTGGAGACACTGAGGCTGGCGACCCTGGGACTGGAGGTGCTGGTTCTGGGGGTGCTGCTGCGGGAGACGCTGCGGTTGGAGACCCTGGGACTGGAGGTGCTGGTTCTGGGGGTGCTGCTGCGGGAGACCCTGCGGTTGGAGACCCTGGGACTGGAGGTGCCGGTTCTAGGGGTGCTGCTGCTGGTGACGCTGGTTCTGGTGGTGCTGCCACTGGAGGTACCGGTTCTGCGACTGGAGCTGCTGGAGCTGCTGGAGGCACTGGAGCTACTGGAGTTACTGGAGACCCTGGGGCTACTGGAGGTGTTGGAGCTGCTGGAGGCACTGGAGCTGCTGGAGGTGCTGGAGCTGCTGGAGCTGCTGGTACTGGTGCAGCTGCGCCGACACGACTGTTCTTCGCTCCGCCGTCTCCGTCGTCTCTGCCGCCGCCTGACTCTGCTCCGCCGTCTCTCCCGTCGTCTAATGGTCTTCCGTTACAACCTGGCTCACCGCTGCCTGCTCCCTCTCCTTACACTGAGCAGACAGGTAGTCTTGCTGAGCATCGTGAGCCTGCGTCGCGTCCTGTCTCGCCTGTTTGTTCTGGTCGTACTGGTCGTCGTGTTTCTCGTTCACGTCAGCCGACTGTCCCCAGTGCACACCTTGTTGTCCGTCGTCCTTCCTCTGCTCCACAGTCTATTCCTCTGCCGTCTCCCCCTGCGTCGTCTATGCCTGCCGTTCCGGACCCTGCGTCTGACCGGTTTTGTGCTGAGCACCCTACTGTCACGCGTCTGCTAGCCACTGTTATCACTGACCCGTCGTTTGAGTCTGCTGCTGCGTCTGCCTTGGTCGCTGAGCTTGTTGACTTTGCTGTTGCCTGTCGTCTAGACTACGCTGCCAGTCTTGTTGCTGAGTCTGAGTCTGTCTGTCCTCCGTCCGTCAGGGGTGAGTGTGCTCTTGGCACGGACGTCCTTGAGGACAGTCAGGAGGACCTTGAGTGTCTTGCAGCCACTGCGCCTCATCTCGTGGCCATGCTGCTTGCCCCTGAGGGAGACCCGGATGCACCAGACATCCCGACCCCGCGCTCTTACGCTGAGGCGATCGCGGGTGAGTTTTCCTCTCAGTGGCGGACAGCCATGGACGCAGAGATGGCATCCTGGAAGTCCACAGGCACCTACGTCGACGATGTTCCCCCTCCAGGGGCGAACATCGTCAGTGGCATGTGGATTTTCAGGGTGAAGCGCCCGCCAGGTTCTCCGCCTGTCTTCAAGGCGTGTTACGTTGCTTGAGGCTTCAGTCAGCGAGAGGGAGTCGACTTCTTCCAGACCTTCTCCCCTACTCCGAAGATGACCACTCTTCGGGTACTGCTGCACGTTGCCGCTCAGCGTGACTACGAGCTTCACTCTCTGGACTTCAGCACAGCTTTCTTGCAGGGCAGCCTGCACGAGAAGATCTGGCTGCGCCGCCCTCCTGGCTTCACTGGGTCGTTCCCTCCTGGTACCCAGTGGAGCTTCCGAAGGCCAGTCTACAGTCTCCGCCAGGCGCCACGTGAGTGGCACGACACACTAAGGACTACACTTGCGGCTCTTGGGTTTGCTCCGTCGACCGCGGACCCGTCGCTGTTTCTGCGCACCGACACCTCGCTGCCGCCGTTCTACATCCTCGTGTACGTCGACGACTTGGTCTTTGCCACTGCTGACACTGAGGCTCTTGCCCTGGTGAAGTCCGAGCTGCAGAAGAGACACACGTGCACAGACCTGGGTGAGCTGCGCAGTTACCTTGGCTTGCAGATCACCCGGGACAGAGCACGCCGCACCATCACACTGACTCAGTCACACATGGTGCAGCAGGTCCTTCAGCGCTTCGGCTTCATCTGGTCCTCAGCACAGGCCACTCCTCTGGCGACAGGTCACTCGCTCTCAGCTCCACCTTCGGACGAGTCCGTAGAGCCGAGTGGTCCTTACCCAGAGCTAGTTGGCTGCCTCATGTACCTGATGACCTGCACTCGTCCTGACCTCGCGTACCCTCTTGGCCTTCTGGCTCGCTACGTGGCTCCTGGTCGGCACCGACCTGAGCACATGGCTGCTGCTAAGAGGGTACTGCGCTACTTGTGCAGTACATCAGGCATGGGACTGGTGCTTGGAGGGAAGAGCCCAGTTGTTCTCACTGGGCACTCAGACGCTTCTTGGGTTGACGACCAGGCTACTCAGCGGTCGTCACATGGTTACACCTTCAGCCTTGGCTCTGGTTCAGTTTCTTGGCGTTCTACTCGCTCTTCTTCTGTTCTCAGCCATGGCTGCACAGGAGTTGCGCTGGCTCACCTACCTGCTGACCGACCTGGGAGAGCCGCCTCGTTCTCCTCCAGTGCTGTACGTCGACAACAAGGCTGCCATTGCCTTGTGCGAGGAGCACAGACTGGAGCACAGAACGAAGCACATTGCTCTGCGTTACTTCTTGGCTCGAGAGTTGCAGCAGCGAGGCCAGCTTCGTCTCCGTCACGTGGACACTCGGGCCAACACTGCTGATATATTCACCAAGGTGTCAGAATGAACAGACTGGAATGATTGAACTAACAGAGAAATCAGTACAAATAGCAAACCCTAGAATTGTGTACCCCATATAGGCTAACCCACTGTAGTCTAACAAACCCAACATATATAATGTTTGACACACCCCATAGGCAAAGTGGGGGAGACCTAGGGGTCACAAGACCAGTCAAGGCAAAGCAAGGCAACAACAAGCTCAGGGTGGATCTCAAGGATACCACACAAATTCCGAGCACAAGCTAGTGGTCACAAGACCAGTTCACATGCAGGTTTATAACAGAGCATGAGATACAGTGATCACAGTACAAGCAAAGTCAAGAGGTAAGCAAGTGAGGTCCAGTAGGCACAAGGCCTAGTAGAGTGCAGAAGCGCTGATGGTCACGAGGCTGAAGCGCCTTGGTGAACACATCAGCAGTGTTGGCCTCAGTGGCCACGTAGCGAATACAAAGCTGACCGCGCTGCTGCAGCTCTCGAGCAAGGAAGTACCGCAGGGCGATGTGCTTCGTTCTGTGCTCCAGTCTGTGCTCCTCACACAAGGCAATGGCAGCCTTGTTGTCGACGTACAGTACTGGAGGAGAACGAGGCGGCTCTCCGAGGTCAGTCAGCAGGTAGGTCAGCCAGCGTAGCTCCTGGGCAGCCATGGCTGTAGCGTAGATCTCAGCCTCACAACTGGAGCCGAGAACAGAAGAAGAGCGTGTAGAGCGCCAAGAAACTGAGCCAGAGCCAAGGCTGAAGGTGTAACCCTGAGACGACCGCTGAGTGGCCTGGTCGTCTGCCCAAGAAGCGTCTGAGTGCCCTGTGAGCACAACTCGGTCTCGCCCTCCAAGCACAAGCCCCATGCCCGACGTACTGCACAAGTAGCGCAACACCCTCTTAGCGGCATCCATGTGCTCCTTCCTGTGACGGCCAGGAGCGACATAGCGTGCAAGGATGCTAAGAGGGTATGCAAGGTCAGGTCGAGTGCAGGTCATCAGGTACATGAGGCAGCCCACAAGCTCTGGATACGGGCCACTCGGCTCTACGGACTCATCCGAAGGCAGAGCTGAGAGCGAGTGACCGGTAGGCAGAGGAGTGGACTGAGGCGAGGAGTACGTGAAGCCAAAGCGCTGGAGAACCTGCTGCACCATGTGTGACTGAGTCAGGGTGATGGTGCGCCGTGCTCTGTCCCGGGTGATCCGCAAGCCAAGATAGCTTGTCAGCTCACCCAGGTCTGTGCATGTGTGTCTCCTCTGCAGCTCCGACTTCACGTAGGCGAGTCCTGCAGTGTCAGCAGTGGCAAAGACCAAGTCGTCGACGTACACGAGGATGTAGAACGGCGGCAGCGAAGTGTCGGTGCGCAGGAACAGCGACGGGTCAGCTGTAGAAGGCGCGAACCCAAGAGCCGCAAGTGTAGTCCTCAGTGTGTCGTGCCACTCACGCGGAGCCTGGCGGAGACCGTAGACCGGCCGCTGAAGCCTCCACTGGGTACCAGGAGGAAACGACCCAGTGAAGCCAGGTGGGCGGCGCAGCCAGATCTCCTCGTGCAGGCTGCCCTGCAAGAAAGCAGTGCTGAAGTCAAGTGAATGAAGCTCGTAGTCGCGGTGAGCGGCTATGTGCAGCAGCACCCGAAGAGTAGTCATCTTCGGGGTGGGGGAGAAGGTCTGGAAGAAGTCAACTCCCTCTCGCTGACTGAAGCCTCGAGCCACGTAACGCGCCTTGAAGACAGGCGGAGAGCCCGGCGGCCGCTTCACCCTGAAAATCCACATGCCACTGACGATGTTCGCCCCAGGAGGGGGAACCTCGTCGACGTAGGTGCGTGTGGACTTCCAGGAAGCCATCTCGGCGTCCATGGCTGTCTGCCACTGAGAGGAGTAGGGACCCGCCATCGCCTCAGCGTAAGTGCGTGGGGTCGGGATGTCTGGTGCATCCGGGTCTCCCTCAGGGGCAACTAGCAAGGACACGAGACGGGGCAAAGCAGCAGCAAGACACTGGAACTCCTCTTGTCTGTCCTCAAGGACGTCCGTGCCAAGAGCACACGCACCCCCGACGGACGGAGGACAGACAGACTCAGACTCAGCAACAAGGCTAGCAGCGTAGTCTAGACGACAGGCAGCAGCAAAGTCAACAAACTCAGCGACCAGAGCAGACGCAGTCGAGGACTCAAAGGTAGGGTCAGTGACAACAGTAGCGAGGAGACGCGTGACAGTAGGGTGCTCAGCACGGTACCGGTCAGACTCAGGGTCCGGAACGTGAGGCAAAGAAGACGCGGGAGGAGACGGTAGAGGGACACGCTGAGGAGCAGTAGAGGGACGCAGAGTCATGTAGTGAGTGCCTGGGACAGGAGGAGGACGCTCACGACGGACACGACGACCAGTGCGAGCAGGACGAACAGGCGACGCAGGACGAGACTCAGGCTCACGACGCTCTGTAAGACCTCCTGTGGGACCAGTGTAAGGAGAGGGAGCAGGGAGAGGCGAGGTAGGCGGTAACTGTGACTGCGACTGGACAGGCAGAGGACACTCTACGGAGGGAGGAGGACAAGGAGGAGGAGCCTGCCCAAGAACCTGCTGAAGGAGCGGTACGAAGTACGGTCGCGGCCGCGCAGCGTCTTCAGAAGCAGAGGAGACTCCAGCGGCCGGGTCAACAGCACCAGCAGCAGCTCCACCGGCCGGGTCCTCAGCACCAGTAGTAGCTCCAACGCCCGGGTCCTCAGCAGCAGCAGCAGCGCCACCGCTCGGGTCCTCAGGTCCAGCAGCAGCTCCACCGTCCGAGTCCTCAGTACCTACAGCAGCGCCACCGCCCGGGTCCTCAGCTCCAGCAGCAGCTCCAACGTCCGAGTCCTCAGCACCAGCAGCAGCTCCACCAGGCGGGTCCGCAGCACCAGCAGCAGCGCCACCCCCAGGGTCCGCAGCACCAGGAGCACCACTCCAAAGACTGCAGCGCCGTGTGTACCACTCGCGGATCTGCTGAATGGGGGGGAGCTCCTGGGTAGGAGGGGAAGTACCGGGACGAGCTCCAGAAGCACCTCTCCGGAGGCGGCAGTACTCGAGGTACCTCTCCTGCAGCTGCTGGGAGGAGAGGGCTCCTCCAGGTGTAGCACGCTCAGTCTCAGCACCCCCAGGCTCCGCACCACCAGGCTCAGCACCCCCAGGCTCAGCACCCCCAGGCTCCGCACCCCCAGACTCAGCACTCCCAGGCTCAGCACCCCCAGACGCAGCACCCCAAGCTCAGCACCCCCAGACGCAGCACCCCCAGGCTCAGCACCCCCAGACGCAGCACCCCCAGGCTCAGCACCCGCAGCAGGACGAGAGTCAACAGCTACCTCGACAGGCTCACCCGGGTCTACCTGGGACACACCTGAGGGAGCGGCACCCTGAGGGGGGAGGGGGGGTCTGGACCTCAGCACCTGGAGCGAGGAAGAGAGGCGGGGGGGGGGAGCGGGGCAGTGCGGTAGGGGAAGAGGCGGTAGTAGGGGACAGACTCGTCAAAAGTGACGTCCTGAGAGGCCAGGACACGCCGCGAGGTGGGGTGGTAGAACTGCCAACCAGGGGCGTCCGGGACAAAGCCAAGGAAGACGCAGGGGACAGCGCGACGGGAGAGCTTGTCCGCGGACGTGTCGCGGACAAAAGCTCGGGATCCCCAGACCCGAAAACGCGACGCATCGCCAGCCTCCCCCGTCCAACGCAGTGTCGGAGAAGTCTCGGGCAAGGAGACACGGGGCCAGAGGTTGAGCTGATGTGCAGCGTATCGGACTGCAAACGGCCACAGAAAATGGGGGGCAGCCGCATGGCTCAAGGAGGTACGGGCGACCTCCATGACCAGACCAATGCGGCGCTCAGCAACCCCATTCTGCTGTGGAGAGTCCGGAAGCGTGTACGACTGCTCAATGCCCTCCTGCTGACAGAAGGCCTCCAATAGGCCAGAGGAGAACTCCCCACCTCTGTCAGAGTGCAGACGCAGGACAGGGAAGTCGGAGCGGAAACGCTCACGGAGCTGGAGACGAGATCTGCGGATCCAAGGGATCAAGACATCAGGGACGTCACCCTTGGCGCGCAAGGGGAAGACCGTGGTGTAGCGCGAGAAGTCGTCAACAACAATCAGGAAGTACCTCTCTTGACCCTGACCACGGACGCGGGCTGGGCCCCACACGTCCATGTGGAGCGTCTGCAAGGGAGCAGTCGTCGGGGGAAAGGAGGAGGAGTGAGGAGCGGCGCGCTGCCGTCCCTCGACACAGGGAATATAGAGGGAGGAGCAGGCGAGACGGGAAGGGGAGGGAGCACCCTGGGAAGACCAGCAACAAGGTCCCGCTTGTGCATGGCCCGAAGGCGCTGCACAGACGGGTGACCAAGGCGGTGGTGCCAAAGGACCGTCTCATGCGCCAGAGAGCGACACGAGCAGGGGGCGGACAGCTGACCTGACGCAGACGCAGACGCGGACGCAGCTACCTGAGGGGACTCAGTGGTCAGTGTGTAAAGGTCCGACCCCGGCTCCCGAGTGAAGGTAGCCAGGTGGCGACCCGTCCGAGCACACGTGCAGTGTGTCACGCGCTCGTAGGCAGGGGTGAACTGGTGAACACCCCCGTCCTGGAGCGCACTACCTGCCACCAAGTTCGTAGAGAACGAGGGGAGATAAAGACCTGACAGCGTGCCGGACGGGACCGCCGGACAAGGAAGGACAGTGGAGGAGGTCGCAATGACCGGACCCCCAGAGGGGTCAGCAAGGGAGACAGCAACTGGCCGAGCGAGTGGCTCAAGGACAGTGCGGTCACGAAAGAAGGAGCGAGAAGCACCTGAGTCCAGTGTGAAGGTGTGCAGTGCTGCAGTCGACTCAGTACCAGGGGGCACGGACGCACGAGCACCTAGAGCAGCGGCCTCACCAGGACCTGTGGGAGCAGACGCACTAGCACCTAGAGCGGCAGCCGGACTGGCCTGAATGCCTGGGTCGGGCGGAACACGCAAGTACTGAGCACCCTCTCCACTAATAGACATCGCATACATGGCAGTGAGAATAGCATCAAAGTCTAAAGCCCAAATATCAACACCCCTCTTTTCCAGATCAGCCCAGCGCGGCAGCTCAGTGGCAGCAGGAAACTGAGTGCGCCACGCGTCGTTAAGGCGCGCGAAGCAGCGCTGCGTGGGGTGCGGCCTCCCACACTGCTGGCCGCTGCGGTCACCTGTGCGAATGACGTACGTGCAGGTAACGCTACGCTGCGCATACCACTCACGGGCGGCCTGAAGCGTCGGGGCGGGCTGCTGACTCTGCCCTCCGCCAGCGCCTCCACGACCACCACCCCCACCGCCGCCGCCCCGGCCACCTCCACCCCTGCCGCCACCACGACCACCTCCGCCTCCGCTGCCGCCTCCACCACCACTCCCACCGCCGCTGTCTCCTCCCCCACTGCCGCCACTAGTCTCCCCAGCCGCGCCTCCACTCCCACCGCCTCCACCCCCACCTCCTCCGCCGCCACCCCCACCCCGGCCGCCCTTGTTCCTGCGGCGCGCCGAAGAAGACCAGCACGCGGTCCCGACCTTCTCAGCACCAAGAAGGTCGACAGCAGCAGCAGAGGCGACAGAGGGGAGGGAGGGGGAAGTGGAACACCCCTCAAAGAACGGGGTGCGGGGGTCGCCACGAGAGGTGCCTACAGCGACTATGCTCGCCTCGGCTGCAAGCAGTTCCTTCTCGAGGAGGGCAACAGTGAGCTCAGTGGGGGAGCGAGAGAGGAAGTGGTCCCTGACTGCGCGCAGAGAGTCAGGGAGGCGGGTGACGATGTGGTAGAGAGTGATCCAGAGCGGGGGGGGGGGTGCTAGTGAGAAACTCGGCAGGCATAGCAGCGCGAAAGCGGCTATCGGGCCTCATAGTCTTAAGGTGGGTGATGAGGGTCTGCCGACAGTGTGAAAGGAGGCTAGGTCGGGGAACAGGTAGGGGAGAGTGAGGCGGCCTAACGTGGCAGAAGCGGGTGAGGAGTAGCGGGCAACTACAGCGGTGTAGAGGTCCTTAGCAGTCTTGCACTGCCCGAAGTGCTCGCGCTCGTCTAGCGGCAGGGAGTTGCGAATAGCAAAGCGAGTGTGCGCATCACGGGTCTGCCACTGGGAACGCAGAGTGCTGTCAGCAGTCGAGTCAGGGGCAGTGGCATGGCCTAGGGCGTGGTCGTACAGTGAGATATCTTCCTTGGCTGTGAGCTGTAGGAACAGGTGCAGGTCATCGAGCCAGGTTTCGAACTTCACTGGACGGCCCTCGGCATCGAAAGCTAGAACTGGCGGACTAGCCATAGTGACAGTAGCAGTAGGAATCAGGCCGCTGGAAAGGTGTGCGGAGGGTCAACGGGGCCGGCGGGGCCGCTAGGCAAGGCGCGGGCGGGTCGACTGTCCGTAGTGGCACACGAGCGGTAGTAGTAGGTATAAGGTAAACAGTAGGAACGGAGGCGCTGGGAGACTGTGGGCAGTGTCAACGGGGCCGGCAGCAGCGGCAAACGAGTGGTAGCGTACGGGCGGCAGCAGCAGTGGCGCACGGGCGGCAGCAGCAATGGCGCACGGGCGGCAGCGGCTTTGGCGCACGGGCAGTAA